TAGACTGCGTGACTTATTCGTACGGACATGGATTTTTCTATTTCAAATAAGCCGAAATGCGACTATCCACGAAAAAATGATTAATCATAAATTCATAATACACAAAAAAAATCCAAAAAGTGTTAAACATAGCAGGTATTGAGAACATAGCATTGACATTACTGCAGTCCGTGTCTGACATCGCAGTTTACGAAATTTCATTAAGTGTCGCTTTTCGCGATGATGTATTCTATGCCGGACTAAATGTGCATGGTAAAATCAGAATGTTTGTAGCGTATTCATATTATTATTTGACTCTAAACAAAATTATAGTATTTTAAAATCGATATCTTATATAATTACTTTAAAATGTCAGATATATATACCATGTCCGTACGAATAGCAAACGTAACTCGGCCACTCTGTTTAAAAATTGATTCTCAGTTGCGCAATCGCCGCGCTGTGAAAACTTATATTATTATACGTTTAATGAAAATAAGCCAATGAAAGCGCGCTTTAAAATATCACATCATAGAAAATATATAGAAGTAATTACTAAATGATTCTGGAGGTTTTGTAATTAAACATTAATGCTTAGGAAGCTAATTCAAAGACAACAACAAAAAGAAAAAAAAAGAAGAAATATGAAAAAAGAAACATTGCCAGAAATTTGGGTCAAGATGGCGACGCGCATGCGTTGTAACGTGCAAAAATAAACAAAATAGCTTCCAATTTGTATAAGAAAATGTATGACCAAGAATATATTTCAGTATTTGTGGACAAAACAAAGCATTATTAACTCGGTGCGCGACTACAAATGATCAAAGTATAGCTCAATCTTTGTACTCACGGCAACAACGGTTAACAATGAACAGCAGATTTTCTTCCTGGGCAGTTTTTTTTATACGTCCTTAAGCCTTCAGATCTCTCATACATTTACACTAAAATCGTCCAAGTTCCATGTACATATATCAGTCCGTTTGAGGTAGAAGAATATCCTGTACGGTAAGTGCGCGACTTCAAATCAACACAACAGTGTTTAAACTGTCTAAATCACCAGAAAAAAACGCTGAATCGCTTGTCAATTTTCTTCCTGAAGAACCTAAACATTGCAAATAATTGCCTAGTACATAAACCGCCATTTTGTTTTTCAGCTTTGAGTCGGAAATTATTGAATGAAGAAACTCTCTCACGAAGCCTTCTTGAACCGCCATTTTACTGAATATCAACTCCCAGTGCCTTCTGGGATTGTACACAGGGTTTCCAACCATTTTTAAGTTCAAATGTTTGTCTTTATGCTTTTTACCGTGTAAAATTCTAAAAATTAGGCGAATTTTGTGTTTCTCGACATTATGGGTCCATTTATAGAAAGGAACTTTCTAATTCTGCTATTCTGAAATATAAATCGCAATAATAACGCAATTGTACAACGAAAATGAAATGTTTTGATCAAATCGTTTGTATTTAACGTATAAAATCGTCAATATCTGAGCCGAAGAAAATCGCTGGTCAATGACCCAAATTTCTGGCAATGAAAACTTGAGTGGTGGGATTCGAACCCATGACCATAAAATCGAAAAAAGGTTAGGACGATTCCCCCGAGACATTCTGTGAAGCCGAGGCGGCGAATCGATTTACATTCCGGTTAGAGATTTCGGCTCTTCCATGCTATCCCGATAATCGGTCCTAACTAGAAGCTATCCGGCCCCTAGACACTGATGGATAACCCCTTGCACTAACTAGGCAACTATCGAAAGTATATGTCAAATTGGGGTAGCCTATTCGGTGAAAGTGTCAAGTGGTCTATTAATATGTAAATGAGAGTGATCCAGTGGCGCACCGCGTTAAGGCGCCGCTTGCAAATCCAATGTAGGTTGACGGTAGCGGGATCGATTCCCTGGAGGAGACGTTTAATGATT